ATTATATTATTATAATATATATATATATATATATATATATATATATATATATATATATATATATATATATATAAGAAAAATGGATGAATATATATATATATGCTATACATATTTATATTCACAAGAGTTTCATCCATTTTTCTTTTCAATTAATGATTTTACGCCGTATCAAAGTTTCAGCCTTGTTTGCCATAATTGGCGCAGACAATTCTTATTTTCCACGAAGATCAGCAGTCCACCAACAGCTCGATCAATAGAAATAGATGAACGCCACAAGTAACGAGTTAATCGACGAATTATTTATGGGAATGATTCAAAATTCCGTTATCGAACAACGGGATTACCATGGCAGCGCCCTGCTAATGAGATTTTTTATGATTTAATCGGTACGGCGAACAACGCCGGCTTATTGCACACAATTTTGCAGAATTCAGCAGCGGTTTTACGAGCTGCATTCCCAATGCAAAAGTTACGACCATAGTGTTCCGAGGACGCGCTGGTTATATACTCCTACGTAGAAGTTGTTCGCTAAACGGTACATAAATTACTCCTAACGAAGACTACAAATGCGCACGAAAAATTTATTGCATCCATTCCTGATCTATCGGCCAATCGTGTGCCACGACGCTCTGCACCGTTATCGGGAAATCCTTGGGGTCAGTTCAGCCCGTATGACTTTCTTATTGTGCAACTAACAATAACTGACTTGATTTTCGCTCGCCCACCTAACGGCAACAGGTTTCGTTATTGGGGCAACATCCTAGCGTCGCATGTGGGTTTCGGTTTCCAGAGCCATCGACAGCGCAGAACCGACGTGCCAACAGGTAGTTGCGATGTCGCGCTGTTACCGTTACCTGTATTACAATATTTTCATTACATTCATACATGAAATTGTTTATACTCGCCTTCGCATATTATTTACGAGACGCCGCGGTAAACGAGTACAGAGAATCCAGAACAATTTCATTGACACTGACACAGTTACCTTGATTCACATCTGCATCGCGAGTAATACGCGCTCCTGTCGATCCTTAGAAGTGCCTGCATGCGAAGTCTCGCTTTCTTAATTAATCTACGATCATTTTCCCCTGATTGAAAAAGAGCATCTAAAACTTGTAGTATGCAACCGGTACTGGAAAACCTTGACGGCATTTAAAGTTTTGCTCTACTTCTTGAACTATTTGCATTAGGTACGTAAATAAATAAATGGAATACGTACGTAAATAAAATAATGGAAATTTTTTTTCTAGAACTTGAAAGGCTTAACTGAAAGTTTTGTTCTTAATCTACATCCAATATAATAGAAGTAGTTTCTTATTTAGTAAACATGAATTTTTGCTTCGAAATGCTCACCATTTCTGTTTAAATCATTATTTTGAAAATTCCCTACGTACTTCGCTATTTTAGTATAGATTACGAAAAGAATTGCGCTTTTGCTTAAAAAAGAATTACAACGCTAATGCTGCGAGCCTCGGGAAAACATATACAAAATGAAAAATGAAAAAGGGGTTTTTTTTCTTTTAAAAGAGTGATTTTAAAGATTCGCTCTAGTGGCAACTCAAAAATAAAGTGCTACTTCAACAATTTTAATATGACAGATAAATAAATAAACGGGAAATCTACTCTTATTGTACTTATTTATACATATTATCAAAAAAGCATCAACATTTTTTTTCGACGTACACATTGATTGCTTCGCCGTCATCATTTTGAAACAAAGAAATTAAAAAAATTAGTTGCTTCCTTCAAAATGTGTATAAGAAAGTACCATAAGTCGATTTCCCGTTAATTTTTTTATCTGCTTATATTAAAATGGTTAAAGATTAAACTTTATTTTTGTTGTAGAATAAAGCTTTAAAATCATTTTTCTAAAATACAGAGATCCATAATGCAAAAACTATTAATGTTTTTCAATGCTGGTTATATTTAGACCAGTTAAGAATTATTTAACTACGGAATCTTGGGTAGTAAACTTGACTCTAGTAGATAGATAAAAGGAATTAAAACGTTTTAATTATCTGTGTATTATTTTGCAAGAATGTTAGCCTGAGCTATAAAATGATATTAGACATTGTAAGAATTTGCTAGTAGCTTAAACTTGACGCCAAAACAGATTGTATAAGGGTTAACAAGCTCGGACATAATAAATGACGATGGTAACTATGATCTCTTGTATCTCTCGATTGCTAACGAGCTATAATAACCGGCTGAACAACAAAGGTGATTCTTGTACTAGATGTTATGAGCAGTAATGTAAGTGTGCTCCGGTGCTACCCTGTGCAACAATCTATGACGAAGATACGTCTTCTTGATGAAAGACGAAGCAACTCGAACAAATTGAGATCATACCTCAATGATGGTGTTCTTAATGGGATTCTTCAGTTTATACCCGTAATTAGTGGCTCAATTATTAATTGCTGCTTTTTTTAAGTGCGCCGAAGTTAATATCACTGTGATGTTATCAATTGCTCAATTAGTTAGTGCCACTTTCTATCGCTTCTTTCTCTTTGAAATCGACGTATGTACATATTTATGCTTTGCTAGGTCATCTTATAATTTTTACATAAGTTTCGGACGAGTTTTAAATGATTTTTAAGTGACTTTTAAATCATTTTAAAATAATTTTTTAAGGTAAAGTACACGATGCTGACGTGCGAGCACGAAGTATTTTGAAATTTGCGAATAACAAATTTTATGTACACATTTCAAGCGCAGCACTCGGATAAATATACGCAAAAATTATTTTTCATTGATTTTCAAGGAAAACGAATTTAATTTCGTAAAACGGCACGCATACGAATCAATAAACACGATGACTTGAATGACGAATCACTGCGCGCACTCGTCGTGTGCCTGCAAGGTTCGAAGTTGCGGCAAGAATTAAAATAATAATTTGGAAGTATGATTAATTATTTTCGTAACCGGGTATCGATATTTGACTGCGTTACAGCAGTTCATAAATTACTACACCGGTGAAAAAACGCATCACTGCAATCTACGATTCGCCGCGACGTGGGCCGGCTCTTATGCGATATAATGTATAATTTATGGTAGATGGCCAATGTGAGGGTCCCGTTAAGGGGCCTCGATACTTCCTTCAACACAGTTCGCTTTTTTGGACTGATTTTCGTTCTGTCTCGCGTCCACGATTCCATTTCGAATATAATTTGATTAACACACGCCTATTGTAATAACAGAGCAGCGCATTTGTTTATGTAAATTTATGCTCTCGTTTCATCGATTCGAAAATGTCCAAAGCACGTATTGTAGTATGGATCATCCACCCAAGTTCTCGAGCATTTTTAAAACAAGCGAATGGGACACCTATTTTTAATTGTAACATTCGAATGACGAGGTTCGGGTTCATTTGGACCCAAAGTATAAGTATAGTTATTTGACATGAATTTAGTTCCTGACAATTAATTTGGATTTTCACACGTTTCATTAAGGCCGATGAAATAACTATTGTGTCTAGAAGGAGTACATTAAAAAATACGCTGA